AGGCGAGGCGAGGCGAGGCGAGGCAAGGCAAGGCAAGGCAAGGCAAGGCAAGGCAAATCAAGGCAATAAAGAAGATCACTTACAAGGTGGTTAGTTGTGCCAATCCGCTAAACGTTTTCCCAGTCAACGAAATCAGAAAATTATAGTTTAGCCTCCTAAAAAGGGTCAGAAAAAAAACTTATTACAATCACAGACAAAAACTTTAATTATAGCATCGTTTCTTTATGAATATACAGTTTAACAAAATCAAGAGAAAGGAATTTCTGCTGTGATATCCAGTGACATCTGATATATTTCGTACACTTACAGTGTTTTAAGTCGCGTCAAGTTTTGTAAAGCTGAAGCATGGATATCTATAATGATGTTATGCGATAGATCTCTGCAAACAAGAAAAAATAATAATGTCTTATTCATATTGATGGGTTGCAAGCATTCCTAAGAGAGTCAAAAGACAAAAACATGACGGCCATTGTGGTGCCGTTAACAATGGATGCTAATGAGAAATCTTTTGGTGTGAAATGATATCTTCCGGGTGATGTAGAAATATTTCGTTATATGGCACCAAGATGGTCGCGATGACGTAACGTGCAATCGAAGAATATAGGAAATAAAAGCTAGAAAAAGTTCAACAAAAGAAAATAAATCACCAAAAACTGAAATGAATAATATAACTTTATAAACAAAATAATCATGTATATCATAATATTTGAATACTGTTCCACACTGCGCTAAACTACCAGGAATATTGCTGACGATGGCGCGATGTTTTAAGCCAAAGACATGTGAAGTTTTCGTGTACTGTGCACGCTGACCAGAATTGTGCTAGCATGGGATAGACCAGGCGCAATACTTACAAGTACTCTATATTCTTGGAATTTCCATTTGAAGTTTCTGCCGGTAGTCGGTCAATTCTGTTTTTGCACAGCATTCTGTGAATAAAGGATTGCATACATATTGATGCTAATGGTGAAAGGCAGTAAGTTTTAAAATATTTGCGCAAAATAAAGGGTGACTCACAATGCTCTGGTATTTTCGGGGACGTCTGCAGGAATTGTGGTAAGCGTCACTCCCCGGCGTGTAGTGATCATAATGCTTTCTGGATCACTGGACATAAGACTGCATTCACAGTTTAATGGACAACCTGAAAAATTCGTACAGTAACGAGAAATCCTAAAGTAAAAAAATATATAGCATGCAACAAATATTTTTTTGAAATAGCTGTATAAAGTTCACAACTTCAACAAGACAGACATTGTAAAATGACATGAAAATAAGCAATGTAAAATGACATATGGAAATAATCTACACAGTTTTAAAAGCTCTTACAAGCGCTACCAGTTGCCATTACTGACCTTCGTAGGAGGTGCATGTTTCGTTTGTTATAACCTTTCGCTCTAATAATTAAACAAACAAATAAATAAAGGAAGGAAGGAAGGAAGGAAGGAAGGAAGGAAGGAAGGAAGGAAGGACATAAATAAGGTTATAAATGTTCTCTCTAAACTAGGTATGCGATGTTTACAAGTGGGATATTCCATGGAAGTGTCATTACGTGAAATGACACGTAGTCTGAATGGGAAAACATTATGCTCAAGCTAAATAGTCTATTAGACAAGAAACTGAAAAAACCGCAATGCTTTATTTGAACTAATGGTCAAATGGAATAATTTTT